CCTTGAGCCAGACATTCTGGAGAGTCAAGTTAAATGGGCCTTAGAAATCATGGCTAACAACAAGGCCAGTGGAGGTGATGGCATTCCTATTGAACTATTTAAAATCTTACAAGATGACGCTGTTAAGATGTTATACTCAATATGTCAGCGAGTTTGAAAAACTCAGCAGTGACAAGAGGATTGGAAACGATCATTCTACATCCCAATCCCAAAGAAGGGCAGTGCCAAAGAATGCTCCAACTACCATACAACTGCACTCATTTCAAATGCTAGCAAGGTTATGCTCAAAATCCTCCATGGTAGGCTTCAGCAGTATGTGGACCGAGAACTCCCAGAAGTACAAGCTGGATTTCGAAGGGGCAGAGGAACTAGAGACCAAATTGCTAACATGCAATAGATCATGGAGAAAACCAGAGAATTCCAGAAAAACATCTACTTCTGCTTCACTGACTGCGCAAAACGCTTTGGCTGTGTCCACCACAGCAAATTATGCCAAGTTCTTAAAGAAATGGGAGTGCCTGACCAACTTATCTATCTCCTGAGAAATCTATACGTGGGACAGGAAGCAACAGTTAGAACTGGATATGGAAGAACTGATTGGTTCAAAATTGGGAAAGGAGTACGACAAGGCTGTATATTGTTCCCTTGCTTATTTAACTTATATGCAGAATACACCATATGAAAGGCTGGACTGAAGGAATCCCAAGGTGTAATTAAGATTGCCGGAAGAAATATCAACAACCTCCGATATGCAGATGATACCACTATGATGGCAGAAAGTGAGGAGGAATTAAAGAACCTCTTAATGAGGGTGAAAGAGCCAAAAAAATGTTTTTTTAGACCAAAAAATGGTCTGAAGCTCAACATCAAAAAAAACAATAAGATCATGGCCACTGGTCCCATCACCTCCTGGCAAACAGAAGGGGAAGATATGGAGGCAGTGACATATTTTACTTTCTAGCACTCCATGATCACTGCAGATGGTGACAGCAGCCACAAAGTTAAAAGACGCCTGCTTCTTGGGAGGAAAGTGATGACAAACCTAGACAGCATCTTAAAAAGGAGAGACATCACCTTGCCAACAAAGGTCCGCCATACTCAAAGCTATGGTTTTTCCAGTAGCAATGAATGGAAGTGAGAGCTGACCGCTGAAGAATTCATGCTTTTGAAGTGTGGTGCTGGAGGAGACTCTTGGGAGTCCCCTGGACTGGCAAGATCAAACGTATCCATTTTGAAGGAAATCAACCCTGAGTGCTCACTAGAAGGACAGATCCTGAAGCTGAGGCTCCAATACTTTGGCCATCTCATGAGAAGAAAAAACTCCCTGGAAAAGACCCTGATGTTGGGAAAGTGTGAAGGCAAGAGGAGAAGGGGACAACAGAGGATGAGATGGTTGGACAGTGTCATCAAAGTGACCAACACGAATTTGACCCAATTCCGGGAGGCAGTGGAAGACAGGAGGGCCTGGCGTGCTCTGGTCCATGGGGTCACGAAGAGTTGGACACGACTTAATTACTAAACAACAACAAGCTGCCTTAGAAACATAATCTATCATTCCAACCAGTAAATAACTGATGTAAGAATTGCACAGAATGGTGTGCATCTCAGAAAGGAACTAAGCATCAGATAGTCTGATATTGTGTCTGACAAAAACCTACCTTTCCACACTGTTAAGGTAGGAAGAACCATCATGTCCTCCTACTGCATAAAGAAGGTCATCCAAGACACTAACACCAACACCACATCGCCTTTTGCTCATGGAAGCCACCATCCGCCACTCATTTGTTTGTGGGTCATAACGCTCAACACTGGAAATTGCATCCCCACTGCACCAGCCACCCACTGCGGAAGTGAAGTTGGAGATAATGTAATATAATGCATTATACATACATGCATACATATATATATAGGCCGGGGGGGGAGGGGAGAGATAGGGAGAATCCAGAAATGTCACACAAATGTTTACTTAAAGCCACTTTTTTCCCAGGTCTATCTTCTACTTAAAATACTGCTTGCTCAGTAGTCTGGACACCCTACCAGGTGTATGCTTAACAAAGTGAATGCTGAACTCAAGAGATGCCTTCCTCTCTCCACCAGCCAGCACAAGACTGGATGTATTATCCCCCTGGAAGAAAACCCTTGTCTGTTCACAATGAACCTACAGAGTCACTTGTCCCTCACAACTGATGATACACCCCCCCTTTTTATAAAAAAAAACTTTTATTGAACTGTTCACTGAAGGATCTCAGAACAGCAGGGAAAAGTCTTGCCCCTTTCATAACCACACCCAGCTGTTGAAACACTTGACTCAAGAACACTCATAAATTTTACAGCTAGAAAGAACAAGTCTCCCCTATCAAAATGCAAAAAATCTTTATAATGTGCACACACCATATTGATTTTTTTGCACTTGCCAATCCTGCCCCTGCTTCTGAGCATTCAGAAGCTTTCTGCAGGAAACAGAGTGCAGGCCAGAATTAATCTGGATCTGCTCCAGCATAGCATGTATTACTTTCAAAGCCATCTCTGCCAACTGGAAAGACAAGTGTGGTTATATGCACTAATTTGTTTCACTAACTGACTGAAGCAGCACCCTTTTTCAAACAACTCTCTTCCTTTCTTTAGCGGAATTTTCCTTCTTTTGCACTTCGCATGACATATTTCTGGCTGATTTTACTATTTCCCATGTCTGCATTTTATCAGTTTCCTTTATAGGTAAGAGGGTCATTAATGTTCATACAGTGGGGTCTCTACTTAAGAACGTCCCTACTTAAGAACAATCCAACTTAAGAACAGCTCCATTTGCTAAATGTTGCTTCTACTTGAGAACAGAAATCCAAGATAAGAACAGGAAAAAAAACCTTTCCTGCTCTTTTTTTAACCTTAGGTCATCTTAGGTTAAAAAAAAAATCTCCCTCTAGTGGTAGAGTACGTATTAACCAGCTTTGCATTAGTTCCTATGGGAACTAATGCTTCAGTGTACGAACACACCTCTACATAACAAAAAAAACAGCCAGAACGGATTAATTGGTTTATTTATATGCCGCCCACACTACCCAAAGGTCTCTGGATTAAGTTCTTAAGTAGAGGTTCCACTGTAGTTTCTATGGACGGAAAAGAGCAGATACGGATTAAATGGTTTTCAATGCATTCCTATGGGAAATGCAGATTCAGCATAAGAACTTTTCAACTTGAGAACCACCTTCCAATACGGATTAAGTTCTTAAGTAGAGACCCCACTGTATATTGTGTGAATTTTAATGTTGTGAGACGCTTTGATCCCTTGTTGGCAAAAATGTGGCATATAAATCGAACTAATAATAATACTAATAATTACAAATCTCTACATTTTAGAGAGCTGATTTTTTTTTCCATTTCAAGGAAGGATGAAACAACTGGTGCTACAGAATAAAATCAGGGGTTTTAGGAACCAGTACAATGCCACAGACAAAAAAAGCAACTAAGGACCTCCTTACTTACCAAATCTATGCTTACAAGTACATACCTGCAAAGAGTACTTCACCACAGCGGATGGGCTTGCGTGGTCTAGTTCTTGGACCCTGCATTAATGGTCGCTCTTGAGGCAACAGCAGATAATTTTTAGCTTCGTCTACTAGATCCCTGCAACAGAACGTTCATGCAATTTTTTTTATTCCGATCAGTTAACACATCACTTCTGCAATCCAAAAGCAGGCAGTCAACCCAAGATTTGTCAATTGAAACAAACCAAAAAAAGATAGACCACCATTAAAGAAACACTCCACTCCAGGTTGAAGTTACAGTATTAACAGTGATAGCAATGTTTTATAGGAGAAGTTAAGTCACAACAAAGCAGCATTTTTCAGGACTTACATTCCTTTAGTAGTATATTTTTCTTTAAAAACAGCATCAAGACCACGACAGCTCTGAGGCTAAAGTTTCTGATTAATCACCTTGTCAGCTTTTAAGTTATACAGTGGTGCCCCATATAGCGACGATAATCCGTTCCAAAAAAATCGTCGCTATACGGATTTGTCGCTATGCGGGGCAAAAAAGGCCATAGGAACGCATTGAAACCCCTTCAATGCGTTCCTATGAGCAAAAAACTCACCTTAAAGCAAAAATCCTCCATGCGTCCGCCATTTTTGCTGCCTGGGAAGCGAGGAAAGGGTGCAAAAACACTGTGGGTCGCCATTTTTTTCCGGCGGCCATTTTGGACCCGCCGATCAGCTGTTTTAAAAACATTGTTATGCGATAACTGGTAAGCAAAACGCTTACTGATCATCGCAAAGCGATTTTTACCCATTGAAAACATCGTTATGCGATCGCTTTTGCGATTGCAAAAACCTCATCGCTATGCAGATTTGTCATTAAAGGAATCGCTCATTATGTGGGGCACCACTGTGCATTCCTGAATCATCTTATTCCTACTTATCCACAACTCTTAAATAAACATAGTAGTAAGAAATTTCCATTTAATTCCACATCATTTATCCCAAAGTAAAGATCATGAGGTTTCATAGAAAAGTGAAATTGGAAGGGGCCTACAAGGCCATCAAGTCCAACCCCCTACTCAATGCAGGTATACAATCAAAGCATATCTGCCAGGTGATTATCTAAGTTTTTCTTGAATGCCTCCAGTGTTGGAGAACTCACCAACTCCCAAAGTAACTGGTTGCACTGTCGTACTGCTCTAACAGTTAGGACGTTTTTCCTGATATTCAACCGAAATCTGGCTTCTTTTAACTTGACCCCATTGTTGCGTGTCTTGCACTCTGGAATGATCGAGAACAGATCCTGCCCTCCTCTGTATGACAGCCTTTCAAGTATTTGAAAAATGCTATCATATCACCCCTCAGTCTTCTTTTCTGAAGGCTAAACATATCCAATTCTTTCAGCCTTTCCTCATAAGGCTTGGTTTCCAGCCCCCGGATAATCCTCGTCACCCTCCTCTGAACTTGTTCCAATTTGTTAGTATCCTTGAAGTGTGGTGGCCAGAACTGGACACAAGATTCAATGTGAGGCCTAACCAGTGCTGGATAGAGGGGGACTAGCACCTCACAGGATTTGGAAACTATACTTCTATTAATGCAGCCTTTTTGTAGCCACATCACATTGTTGGCTCATATTTAGCTTGTGATCTACGACAATTCCAAGATCCTTCTCGCTCATAGTTTTGCTGAGCCAGGTATCCCTGTTGAATTTCTTTCTGTTGTTTTCGGCCCAGTGCTCCATCCTATCAAGGTCATTTTGAATTTTGTTTCTGTCTTCTAATCTATTCTGGCCAATTTTGTATCATCTGCAAATGTGACAGGCATTCCCTGCACTCCCTCATCCAAATCATTAATAAAAATATTGAAGATCCCCAGGCCCAGGACTGAGTCTTGGGATACCACACTTGTTGCCTCCTCCCAGTTAGAGAAGGATACATTAATCATCACTCTCTGAGTACAGTTCTGTAGCTAATTGTGCATCTGTTGAAAAAATAAGGAGGCTTCAAGACACTGAGATAAATAGTTTATATATTTTATCTAGTTCTCTTAGGGAAGGGTAAACGGGAATCCCTAAGAAAATAAACAAATATAAAACTATATTACATAACATACCAAAAGCAGTAAACAGAGTAAGCAACAGCAGTTTAGGTAACACCGACAAATAAGTAAACACAGACAGCTTCTGCCTCACTCCATAACTTCGCACCATCAAGGAAGGGTATGAAAGAGGCTAATGGAGACTAGGGTTTATAAGCCTAATTAGTTACAGGAAACAGATGAGGTCCTTTCGATGTTAACCCTTAGTGAGGAGGCATGTTACAGATTGACAGATATCAACACCCTTTCTCAAGATGTAATAGGAATCCAATTTAGTTACATAATCAATTACATCACCCATGGTCAATTCTGTTGGTATTAACATTAAGCATATTTAACATTTCCCAGATATAAATATATATAAATTTCTCTTGTAGAGATTGGAGATTCTTCTTCCATAGCTTCTATCCATTTCTCTCTCTCTGAAATAGGTAATTTTGTAATCTCATTCCAATTTGTTGGTTCCTTTATTATATGCAGATTTTAACAGAATCCATATCTTTCTGGCCGTTTCCTTTTATTAATCCTTTCTGATCGTCTTACAGAAGTTGTTGTTTTCTGTTTCCCTTGGTCCAGTTTCTGCTTCCCCTTCTGTTTTGCTAACAACTTCAGAAGATGGACCTGCCGTTTGACCAGTGGTCTCAGCAGATGATCAATCAACCGATTCCTGTGAAACAGTTTTTATACTCTGTAGATCAGTTGTCACTATGAATTAATTTATCTGTTGCTTTACAAGTTTTTCATCCACATACACATTATAATATTTAATTTCAGAAGTCTCAGGGTTCCAAATTCTATACCCTTTCCTTCCAATGGGATATCCAACAATAATTCCTATTTCAGCTCGAGGATCAAGTTTTCCTCTCTTTTCTTTTGGGACATTTTTATATGCTTTAGCACCAAAAACTTTTATATGCTTTAAACCAGGTCTTTTTCCAAACCATAATTCAAAAGGTGCTTTACCTGTTACTCTACTAGGGACTCTATTATGCAAATAAACAGCTGTAACTACTGCTTCAGCCCACAAAGAAGTTGGTAATCCAGTTTGCATTAGCATAGATCTAGTCATCTCCTGCAATGTACGGTTCAGTTTTTCAGAACATCCATTTTGTTGTGGGGAATAGGATATGGTTACTTTGTGTTCTATACCTTCTTGTTCCAAAAATATCCTGAAATCTGCATTACAATACTCTCCTCCACCATCAGTACGTAATGCTAGAGGAGCTTTGCCAAACTGAATTTTAATTGCAGCTATATAGCATTTGAATTTTTCAAGAGTCTCATCTTTACCTTTTAGTATATATACATAAGTATATTTACTTTTAGTTTCTGTGAAGGTAAGGAAATATTATTGCCTGCTGATAATGGCATGGGACCCACTAAATCTGAATAGACCTCTTCTAGAAACTATCCTGTATATTATTCTTTCCTGTATAACTGGGAGCAGTTCCCTTTGCTTTTATACAAATTTCATATCTTTCTTTTGACATCACATTTAAAAGCATCAATTCCACATTCTGTCAATAATTTTTCAATAGTTTGCATGTTTCTATATCCAATTTTACATGCCATGAGTAAAGACAAGTTCTATGATCACAAATATCTTGCCTAGTTTGACATACAGATGTTCCTTCATCTACTACAGTATTTAAATCATCACTAACATCAATTATATAATGGAAACCATCTTTTTCATCAACCTTAA